AGAGACACGGACAGCTATAAATTGATTTAGATGGAAATGTAATTGTATGCGATAATATAGTTCCTGTATTATACATAACATAAATTAATATAAATTATTACATAGTAGCCGTAGATTATATTAGATAGTAGTACGTTACTGGGAACCAAAAATTACACGTGTCGCGCATCAATATCTGCCGTAATTAATCGTCGATGTCGAGCGAACGCGCGTACTATGCAAGCCCTCGGTTCCGAAGGATTTACCGGGAAATTATAGTGGGATATTCGATTATCGATCGAGAAACGAAGTGCGTACGGTAGTATCAAGCAAGGACAATAAAGAAAGTCTATCGGATAATTTATACGCGCGTCCTCCTTTTCTCCCTCGTCGTTGGAAGGAAACGCGAAGATCGAAGGAGAAACGGAGGAGTCGGATGTCGTTGGAGAAATTATGCGAAAATTTAACATAGATTTACCTTCGCCTGAACCCCGAGCTCTGTCCGACGCACCTTGAGCCTGAAGTTTCGATGGGAAATCCCTTTCTTGATAATCATTGTTGAGATTTAAAGAACGAAACACTACGTCTTCCATGAGATTGTTTTGTACTTCCCTCCCGTTCGAATCTTTTGCGTCGCCTAAATTCGACGGAGAACAACGGTTTCATTGTGCGCGCGGGCCAGGAAGTTGGTTCAGGACTCGTGAGACACGATGATTTTAAGGACCGATCGATGTATCATTGATATTAGTGCCAATTACGATCACGATATGTCGCGTATTTTTCGATATTACGTACCTTTGTTATACACGGCGTACTAATATCCCGATTATCCTCGTTTGCGGAGACCGTTCGTCATGTATTGTGCACAATCCGAATGGGATTCTGTCAATAATCGTAGTTGTACTATCGATCTGTGCTATGTACTCAATCGTCAGATGTAAGATGAATTCTCGGCACCGGGGATTCTGTAAAAGTATAACCGCAGAATGGCGTAAAGAGCGAATCGCGGTGCAACGAGGAGAATAGGGTTTGAATTATTTAATCGTTGAAACATTGGAAGGCAAACGACAATTGTAGATAAATACGTTTTCTTAGAAGTTATTCGGACTTTCGCGGAAACATAGTTCGCTTTATTTCAATTTATTTCCTACGCTACTGCATCCTCCGTTGTACCGTCGATTTCAACCTGTAAATATTCATTGAATTACACGAAGCACGCGCCGCAGGATTATTGTGTAAAGGACATATTGAAATTGTTTGCGTTATTCATGCTTCATCCACCACCGTCGCAGCTTCATCGTTATCTATAATCCATCGCTGCGATACAGGAACACGAACATTCAGCGTAAAACGTTATTTATTCTCGCTAAATATTATTAAGCGACTTCATTTTAAGATAGGTGCACTGTAATAAATTTCTCATAGTTAATTCGTTACTTCCGCTTAAATTATTGAATAAGTCACCCCAATTAAATCACGAGAACGCTGGTATTTTATAGAGACTGTACACCAGGATAACTTATCGTCGTGACGTTCCAGGAATTTGTTTAATTGCAGCATCCGTGGAATTCGTAAAAATGAAATTTACCGTTTAGAACGGTTTTCAATGAACATCGTTTGAAGAATACGCCCGATCGGTGGACCATACGAATCGCTGCGTTAGCAGAAATGCCTTATTTGTTCGTACATTCTAATAAGTAAACGATTCTTGAATTCGATACACATCACGTTAAACTTTGTGTATTTGAAACTTCTGCACAAATGTGAAGATACAGCATTTCAAAAATCAACGCATCCGAGGAAGGGAGAAACTATCATATTTTAACGGCGTCGAAGAATATGTTACAAGTATTACAGCATAAGCATGAGGTCATTGCGGATTTTGAGCGTTTATGAGAAAATCCATACGGTGTGAAATACATTTTTAAATATAATTGAAATTATTCAGGGGAAAGGTGCGCCCTTATTCAACTTTCCATTTGTGAAAATGTTTATTTTGCATCAAAATCCGCAGCCCACTTGTGTCATTCTTTACAACGTTTCAGCTGAAAGTATTTGCAAACCAAAATCCGTATCTTTGGCCCGTAATCCAAATTTTCGTTCGATACAAGTAGAAGATTCTGGCTGACGGTATTAACCCTCATTAGTTCCTCATGTTTCCGAATAAATGATACTGCAGATTGTTCTGTTGTGTCTGAATCATGCGAATCATTTTATCTGAAATTTTTCTTCGAAATAGGGCACCTATTTATACATTGACATTTTACTAGTGCGCCAATTTGACAGCGATGGAGGCATTAGGTTGGCAAGATGAGGGATGGACGAGGGTTAAAAATCATTGCGACGCGCTGACGCTAGTCTGTAACCTTTTGGGTAGGTTCGAGAGAAAGAAACAACCTTTAAATATCAGCTGGAAATGCGGAGTCACTGCTTCTATCGTTTCATCATTTCCGAATGAAAGAAAGGTACGAGTTTCTGAAAAAATTCGATGAACTTGGAACCAACTAAAGGACAAAGCCAGCATACCGTGGCACACTCGCGACGTATTACAGTGTAATAATTACACGACTCGTTTCTAGAACTCATCCGAGAGGACACAGACCGATGTAACGAGAGCGAGTGGGGAGAACGAACACGTGTAAATGAACAATAAAAGTCTCGTCCGCGGGAAATTCGAAAGTTCCGACGATCGAGAAAAATGTAGATCGAGAAATATGGAACACAAACCGAGCAACATATAAGTCTTCTATCATTCACAGAAGATAGGAATCACTTGGCGTGTAGCAGGTACAGTAGCAGCGGTTTCGCATTAACGATGTAAATGACTTTTCTCTGTCGCGCGAAGTCCGTGATCCAACTCGTTTTACGGGCAATTAATTACCCACGGAAAGATCCGTGGATTTTTCTGGCCGTTTCTCACGCGATAGAGTTACATCGTGAAACCGGTGCGAATGTAACCGTGACACGAAAACATGTTGTAAAGAGGGTCGTATAAGTAAACACAGTCGAGGGATGTCGTTTCTGTGAGGGACATTAAAATGGCGATTCGAGCGCGAAAACAGGATAGCCTATAATCATTAATTAATTTCTAAGTTACGAGAATGCTTTACCTAGGTGGTAACGAAATGAATTAACTTATAAATAAAATGAATAAATTTATATGTATACATATTATATGTATTCGCAAGACGTCCGTCTTGTTATATGTATATATACATATGTGTCTGTATGTGTGTATGTGAATGTATATACATACATATACATATATATCAGTTAGCAACCTACATTCAAGACTGTGGAAAACATCATAGGTGTATAAATGTTTAAATAAATTATTATAACGTGGCAATTGAGCCGGTTCATTTTCCTGATCCCTGCTACGTTCCTAAATTTGATAATAGCTGAGCTTCTGAAATTATCTATTGTATATTTTTTATTAATTATATGTTATAATGTATTTGAATTATTATATAATGATATTGAGATTTAAGCAAA